CCTACTTCCCCTGTGTCGCCTTCGCCTCCCACGACGTGGTTGGATCTCACCTGTACCCAGGTCCAATCCGAATTACTATTCAGATTTGGATCCATTCTCAGATCCGAAATTCAAGTTTCGGATGCAGATCGGATAAATTCTCAACCCTAAAAATGAGCTTAAAAAAGTAGTTAAAAAATAGATTTTAAAAAATCAATTTTGGAAAGTCTTTTTTAAATAATCTAAAACAGATTGAAAATATAAAATAAGTATTTATTTGACCATATCATTTTACAATATTAGCTAAAATGATAGAGAATATATAAAAAAACCATATCACAAATTAATTTATTATTATTATTTTTAAAAAACAAGAATTTAATATCTCTTAGTGGGACACCCAACTCGAGGTAACTTTGGTTCGCAACGACGTGGAGCCCAACGACATGAAGCCCAACTACTCAACCCGATTACTCGGCACTCGGACCGAGTAGGCAATTGTTAATTTCAATTTTCCAAGCCAAGTCGTCTCTTTACCTCTAGGCTCTTTATATTTCTATTTAGTAGTGTTGTAATTACGGTACATAAATAAGAAATGAGGCTCACCATCTCCAAAACACTAGGGTCTAGATGGGAGTGGTGGAGTGTGTCCTCTTTCCGTCTATACCAAGGCATCCGCACCTGAGCTGGAGGTTTCTTTCGAACTCCCACTCTTTGAATTTACCTTGTTATTTCAGCTTTCCAACCAACTCATCTAAAATGTCAATGGCATGGGGTTGTCTTGATTGGTTTGAACCTACATCCAACCTGGTTTCAAATCATTTGAATCGGGATCCGAGTCTATGAATTTAAAAATAAAATATTAATTTTTGTAGGTAATATTTTTCTTTATATATTTTTATCAACCTGACCTGGACTTAATCCAATAGGCGTCCAAACTGGACTTGGGCGTGGACCCAGGCCCATCCAGCTGGGTCCAAAACTTGGACCTGGACCCGGACTCAGGTCCGGTCGTCCCGACGTGACTGCCACCCCTGTCACTCACCTCCCTCACCCTTTCTCACTCTACCCCCGTGTTCGGCTCGCGAATATTCGCTGAGACCGGTTTTCACGCAACGAAAGCGTCCCTTCAAGTCACCGATGACGTAATCGCGGCGCCATCTCCACCGCGATTCGCGGGCGCCGCCGTAGCACCGCCCATCACTCACCGATTGATTTGACGCCCCCTCCCGATTTGACGCGAGGGCGTCATCGATGGGACGTCCTTTTGACGCGTCCTAAGTGTCACGTCCCCTCCATGGGGCCCGCCAAAGACGGGCCCCACGTTCGGCATATGCTGACGTGGAACGAGGTGACATGGCAGGGCGGGAAGCGTGGTTTACGTATTATTGAATAGTGGAGGGGAGTTGTTAAGAAAGGGACCCTGGACAAGGATTTATTTTCGAAGATACCCCTAAGCATTTAGAGAGAGAAAAATACAAGGTTTTGGGGTTCGTGCCGAGACGTTGGATGTGAAGTGTGATATGTGTCTGTCGAGTCCAAGATTCACATCTCTTCTGCTGAGATTTGACGAAACCGAATGATTCTACCGAGATTTGACGAAATTGAATGACTTTCGTTTATCCAAAGTTCGTCTGATCTTTGATTTGGCCACCGAAAATTCGCGAGAGGAAATAA